GGCGAAATGTCTGGGAATGTACCACGTCCACGGTCCGACTTTGGAAATAATTATGCATATAATGGACTCAAGACAAGGTGCATTTCTATAGGTCCTCCTACCATTATGGCCAAGTTGCGAAAACAAGGTCAAACAACTTCTTAACTCACACTAATTCAAAATGTTAGATTAAGCTCAATCAAAACCAACGTACGAGATTACGTAGTTCTATGTCATGCCTTCCTTGGTGCATTAAACTTTAATGACCCTAGATGAGAAGGTTATGGCAGGAGGTTTTGTAAGCTGACTTAGATGTTTACCACTTGTTATCTCAGCCAGATTTGCTTAAGGACTTACACAGTATGGTCGGAGTTCTTCTTGTGTCATCAGGCCTTAATGACCGGGGCCTCACATTAGGCTCTTATAATCATTATGATTTAGGACAGGTATTATGGATAGGTGTTAACACACAAACACATACTAAAGTAAAAGTATCATGACCAAAATAAAAAGAATAATTAGCCAAACCATTCTGTATCTATTTGTCTAAATATTTTCGTTTTCAGCTATTAGTATGTACAAGAGGTAAGATAGAGTCGGACAGTATTCTTGATCGAGTGTTAACTTGAAACTTTTACAAAAATAAGTTCCATCATATATTAGACAAAATCTCAGCTCGTTTTCACCCTAAACGAGGGAGGATGCCTAATGGACTGCATCAACCGAAAAACGGCTGCAGTACAACGGGAATTAACAGTCGTATTTTGGCGATATCGACCTTCTTCATGCCCTTTCTTACAAAATAAAGGTCTCCTCAAAAATAGTGAATAATATAATAACTAAAGCAATTATGTGAACGATAAATTAAGAGTAGAAGTTGGTGAAAAAAATAAGCTCTGATAAATAGTCCAAAAACGAGAAATGATGATGAAAAAAGATAATAAAATAGAGGCATAAAGTGAGGGAAAAATCGTCGATTACCTTCTTCCATAAGGGCTGGAAGACCGCCAGCTCCCGTCAGCATGCCCTCCTGGCCTGGTTCTCCTGGCAACCCTGTACCAGACTGCACAGCACCGGATCCACCAGTCGCGGATCCACAGGGCTGGTCGACCGCTGCCTTAGCAAGTGTATGCACCATCAACTGCATCACTGTTTCGTGCACAGCAAGGCAGCGAGCAAGGTCCGGATGCTGGAAGAATATTCTGTTGTTCATAATGTCCCTAAGCAAATTATAAAAGGTGCAAATATTGATTTCTCAACCTAAAACGAATGAACTTTAGAGACTATTTGAAATGAATATATTAAGAATAAATCAGAAAAGGATTAAAAATCAGTGAAACTTATCCATAGTTGGACGAGAATCATAAAAATTCAAATATACTATTCTATTGGGGAATTTGAAAAAAAACGCAGCAAACACTTAGGAAACATGGCAATCTCAACAAGCCATTAAGAAAAAAGGAATGCGAGCCACCACTAAGTCGAGGAATAAGCTAGGTAGTAGATGGCTCTCTAATAGTTCTGGGGGAAAGGAGTGATCCAACTATTTACTAGCTGTTTAGATTAGTTCAGTCTTCGAAACTTAGCAAAGCAAAACGGATAAGTTACCTACTCCAATCATAAATAATAACTCATGTAATACATGAGTCAATGGGAGAACATATTAATTAATTTGAATAAGGAAAAAGGGAATCATTTAAAGCAGCATGTTTGAATACATTGGGATTACAATGCTTAAGAGTGCGGTCTACCATAAATGAAGTAAACAGCTTATATAGAAGAAAAGATAGCTGAGGTGTTTCTGGGTCTTGTGAGCCACAGGCTAGACAAGAGGCCTGCAATGTATATTAAAGGCGAAATATGAGTTTACTAAAAGAGGCTGATTTTTTGATTAAAATAATACTCGATTGGTCAGATGTACCGTCAAGTGTAACTTGATTATCATATCTGAAGTCATATTCAATTGGGAAGCGGAAATATCTGGAGGAATTTTGGATAATAACAACTGGATCTATCAGAGTAACACTATGCATAAAGCAGTGTGGCTCATGGATGAAGTCAATTAAAAAATATATGCGAATTCATAGGTATATAATCCAACGAACCAGAGACAGTTTTTTAACAAGATCTCTTCGTTAGCGCCGACTTGAACACCAAGCAGACTCCGCACTAGGCCAAGAGATCGCAACATCCGTGTTACATCATCTTGAGCAGAGTAGCTGATCACATAGGTCTTGTTAAGACCATTCCGAATCTGAAGATCATAATGGCGAGGCGGAAAAGATAAGAATACACAAAGACAATAGAGAGGATAAAGCAGAATAATATACATACATATAAAGAAAAGATTAAATACGGATATTCAGATAAATATATCAACAAAATATATAAAAACATGTCTAACCAAATACAGAAAGAGGGATGCTAAGAGGCGAGAGAAATTAAATGCATAGGTAAAATAACTAGAGAGAATAAAGTAGAAACAGCCATACAAAACAACATTATAAATCAAATTTGATACAACTATATTAATGAATATATATAAACGACTATATACAAAAACTACTATGTGTAGATATACGCATAGTCATCAAGAAGCAGAGATATAAGAGATGATATCATGTATAGTCCTCATTTCGTGCGAGAATAGTGAAATAGGTGATTGAGAGCGAATTTTAATAAAACGATGATTGATGGTTGTCCCTGAGCCGCTACACGGGCATCAATCGGATCTCTATTCTGGTCTGTAAATATCAAGCGAAAATGAAATGAGTACGGGGGATCAACGATGCGTATCTTGAAAATAAAACCATTTTTAATAAAAGTAAAGTTTCTTCAAACTTAACAACAGTAACAAAATACTGTCAGGCCAGGCCAATATCAATAGCGGGTCGAAGAAAACTAGTCTTCACTCAACAGCGTCTTCTGGTCATTTCTATTTCTGCTCACTTTTCTTTGTAATATCTGTCTGGTACTACAAAAATTCGATTCCCTCTTATCTGCCCTAGCGTGTGATATATTTGTTGGATTTGCACTCGGGTTAAGCATCCTGTTGTTCGATGTCCCCGTGTATGCTGATAGATTATAACTTGTTGAGACAGAGAACATAAGAGATCAAACATAAAAAAACTAATTTTTGAGGCCAGACAGAAGTGTGAGTCCGAAGTCAAAGGTTGAAGTAAGCGTTCACAAAGGCTAGATTTTACATTGCGAAAATCTTATCACAAGATTGTATGGTCAAGAAGAGGGTGATAGCTCGGGGGGGCCAAGACGAAAAAGGAGGACTTAGTCCTGAGATCCGAAGAGGTTCATCATACATAGAGATCCCTTTTTCTCTCCTTCTATGCTTTCCAGCAAACTAACCAATCAAACGAGTTCAAGTGGAGTGAAAGTAAAAAGAATCCTTTTTTGCTAACCTACTGATAGTTAGCCCGGAAGTAAATCAGAAATATTTTGTCTGAAATACAATGGGCAGCAACTTCAAAGAACCATATAGGACAATACACCAAATATGTGAAACAGTTGCGAGGAAAAAGGGATAAAAGAAATTCACGGAACTCGTCTTAGCTAGTTTAGTATTTATTATGTCAATTACAAAAGTTAAAGAACCTATATTTTAATTAAAGGATAATGTTCAAATTGTAGTCAACAGATGCTCAGTGTCTCCATCATGTACATATTATTGAACTATATGGAAAAATCAAGTGATGCCGGAGTGCCTTATTTGCAGATACCATCCATTCGAGGTGATATGGATCCTGATAAGAGCAGGGGGTTGCTTCAAGTAGGGAAAGTGATAGGCAATAATTTACAGCATACCAAAAAGAAATAGTTTGGGCAAATAATTTTGGGAAAAACCAATGTTATAAAATATCAGTAGCAAAATGCAACGCCTTTGGGGTGCTTAGCTTTCATTTATCTCGATTATAGCAATCCCAAACAGGTCAGGAAATTAACCATCCAATGTTTCAAACAAGATGCC